AAAAAAAAAAAAAAAAAAAAAAAACTCTTTATTCTCACAAAATGGTTAATGAAGCATCATTCTTATTCGTTATTGGCACTCGTTAATGAAGCATCATTCTTATTCCTCGTGAAAAATGAGATCCACTAGACACTCTAAATTTTATTAAAAAACCATGCACATATATTTAATTAAATATTTTATTAGTTATCTATAATATTTTCAAGTATACGTTACATGCAAATACTAACCTGAGTTAAATATTAACTATCATCGAGTATGCTCGTATAGTATTCGGGTATGTTACATAGAGTTGTTATCGAAAATAAATAAATAAATTTGTAAAAAATATTAAAAATATAAAATTTCCTATTATCAAATAGAGAGGTACGTAAGCTGACCCGAACACTTAAAAGCTTTCTACGTTGAATCAGAATCTCACCGATATATTTCGATGTTCTCCACGTGGCACCCTTGGTTACCAAATAAAATAACCCATACTTTGTTTCTGACTCATTGCCACCATTATAACTCCCATCATTGAGCCTTTGATTATTATTATTATTATTATTATTATTTCTTTTTAATAACTTTGTTATTTATTTGTGAGATGGAATCTCTCTTTAATCTTTGATACCTTAGCCTTTTCTTCTTTTTGATATATCATGAAATATGAATAATTCTTTTTGTAATAATAATAATAAAGTAAATCATTAATTACAAATAAACTTATAAATATATAGTTTATTCTAATTATTAAATAAAGAGGATTCTCCTATCATAATACGAATTTTTAATTTATTTTTTTAAGATTGAAATATTTAAAAGAAAAAAAAAACAATGGATCGTAGATAATGTAAAAGTTGAATTTTTTTATTTAATTTAATTTGTTGTATTTTATGGATATTTTTTTTAATGTAAAATAGAAGTTACTACACACCTGTTTTCCCAAAATTAGAAACAGAAATAAATATATATATATATAATTAAAATAGGCCCTCAATTTTCCAAACCATAATTATTACTTTTGAATTATTTAACTAAATTAAAAATAAATAAAAAATAGAATTTAAGAAAAAAAAATGATTGGGCAAAAACATTGCAGTTGTCCATGAAAATTCGGTATGTAAATGTGACAGGAAGCGAATATAAGGTATTGTAAGTGGAAGGAAGGTTAAGAATTTGGAGCATTTTGTGGCCGACAGTTATTTCCATTTAATGCCTTGTGATTTCCACATAAGCCCAATATTTTTTGCTTTCTTGAATGCGACCTATCCCTCCATACCATAATATTATTACATATTGATAAATAAAAATATTATTATTAGACACGAGCGAAACTAGCCACAAATCTTTAAACATCTAGAAACTTATTGATGTAGAATATTAATTTTGTTCGTGTTATAATTTAGAATCTAATTTAATGAAATTAAAGTCCGAAGAATATAATTTTATTATTTGATTATTTTAATTTTATTTTATGAGCTATTAGAATTGTTTTGATAGAAATATTATTCGTTAGTTTTTATTAATCTGAAAAAAAAAATGCCAAAGAATTAAAAATTTTAAAAAAAAAAAAACTCTAATTTATTTTATTTATTTATTTTTCTTTATTTTCTGGTGAAATTATTTTATGATTTTAAATTAAATTTAAGGTTTGTGAAGGGATCAGAGTATACGTTTTGGGCTTCTTTCCGGCAATAATGGGCTTTTGTGGGCCGGAAACAAAACTGACCTCAGGCCCAACATCGAAACCACAAAATCCGCCTTCTGTCATGGGCGCGCAAAAATATCAATTTTTTTTTAATAAATAAAAGAAGGAAAATATATTAGAAATATTATGTTTATTTATTTCTTTTTAATTTCAACCTCAAATTATTGAGAAAAAAAGTGAATATATGAAATAATAAATTCAATCACGAAATTGTGAATTTTATGGAATTGATTTTTTTTAAGAAATATTTGGATATTTAATATATTAGTTCATTAATTACTTAACTATGCAAACTAATTTATTTAATTAATTGGTTGCTTTAGGGTATCGATTTATTTATTTTTAATTTTTTGTATTTTTATAATCCAATTATTAATAGCTGTTTCTTTAGTAACAACTTTGACCCAAAAACAAATTGTAACCACCATATTTAGATTAATCCAATATAAATCATTGATTGGCTAATTTATAAAATAAATATATATATGATTTTGTTACAACTCCTAGTAATTAATTGCCCTATTTAAATATTTTAATTTTGATATATTGACCTTACAAATTTGTTGGTAGGTAATGTAACTCGAACATAAAATTAATTGGTATGATCGACCTTAAATCATTGGTTGGTCGAAGAATTAGGAATAATTTATATATTTCAATATTATGATAATTAATAATTATATAGTTCATAATTTGCTTCATAGCTACTAATTATTGGTAGGTTCGTTAATTGTCAACGGATTATTCATAAACAATTTTTTAAAGAAATATAATTGCAATATTAGTTAAATTTCATATATTTTATTTGTTAAAATAGGAAACTTTAAAGACTATATTATTAAATCGCCCCAATAAAGCAAGAAACTAATATTCATAATTAATATACTTTATTTGTTATTTTATTTTATAATTATTGATGTGATAACAGCCTAGCTATCACTTATATACTTTAGTCAATAAAATAATGTAATAGAAGAAGAAATCCTAAGATTAATCGATAATTAATCATTAAATAAAAAATTACACTAAAAAAGTCAAAAGAAAATTGGTAGACCATAATCAATTATTATCTTATACCTAATATCAATCATGGACCAATTTCTATAAAGATAAAAAAATAAATATATATATATATATATATTATTTATTTATTAAAGAATTAGAAAGTTGAGAGATTAAATTTAAATGATTTTATTTTGAATAAATTAGCTTCTTAATTAAGCAAAAGGGTGAAGAGTATGAGAGTTTGCGTTACTGCGGGGGAGCCAGAACGAAGCACGTGTTCGGTACTCCCATCTTACCAGTCCGTCTGAACAAGAAGCACGTGAGGACTTTTTTTTTTTTTTTTC